CCGCGCTGCACCTCGACACGTGTGCTCCTTTGCTTCTCGGCACTGGGCTGAACAGTCACTGTGACGACCGGGTGATGATGCGTCGTCTTCCGGATAGAGCATGGCAAAGGAGTCCTCGGGGAAGTGAAAGGAGGGAGGGGGGGCGGGAACGGAAGGCAGGAGGGGGGTCTGGTGACAGCCGGGCCATAGTCATGATGAACGAACAAGCGCAAAAACGGAGACCGAGTAAACGGGAGGCCAGCAGATGCAACAGAAGAGAAGAGGGAGGGGTGTCTACAGAGAAGAAGAAGAAGCAGCAGCAGCAAAAGCACACAATGAAAGAATAGACAGCACGAAGGAGGGGAGGGGGGCAGCCGGGAGGGCGGGCACAGAGGGTCGCTGACGGCGAGACACATGGCAGGCCGCCCGGATGCTGGAGGCGAATCTATCGTGAGTTGTGATAGACGGCCCAAACGGTTGACCGAGCCTTGGCCTCGCTGCCTGCGTCTCACACGTCGGCGACGGGCGAGTCGACCCCCCCCCCCCCTCCCAAGCGGAGAGGGCATACGAATCAGTGCACATCGAAAACTGCAAAGACGCACGCAGGTGAACAGGCAGGTCAAAAGAAAACAAAGGTCCCCGCAACACCAGCGTCGCCGGGTGGGTCCGCTTCTCCACGACCGCGTGGCCGCATCGAGGGCCGCACATCACAGAGAGAACGGCCTTCATCGATTTGCCCGCATGCCGCCTGGGCGAGACAAAAACGAGAGAGCCAGAGAGAGAGACGTGTCAATAAACAAACAAACATGCACCCCGTCATGAGCGGTCATGCAGAGACGCGAACAATAAGTCATATGTCGAGTGACTTGCGTATGAATAGTGGGTTCAGCAATACTATTGCGAATCGGCTTATATCGAGCTGTATTCCTGACGCTGCCTATCGAAGCTCCAAGAGAGCCTGACTGCCCCCTCCCTCCACTTCCCCTCCTCTGTGTCTGCTCTCTGCTGCCATTGATATGCCACCCTACAGCCTGGCCACTCACCTCCGCCCCCCAACTCCTCTCGTTCGCCGCTACAGTATGCTTCCCCCCCCCCACCCCCTTCCATGCCTAAGCACGTAGCAAAGGGAAAAAATGGACAAGTGTATCCCAGAAAAAGTAGTGTCCGCCTGTCCCTTCATGGTATCGCATATTGCGGGCCCAACATGTGTGAGCCCATTGCACCTACGCCGTAAAACTCCCAAAAGTTTCTCCTGTGTCTGAGTTTCGATTTAAATGTGTCCCGGTAAGCCTGGGTCGTGAGGACCCAAACCTCCCAAGCTCTCCGGTCCGGTCCGCTTGCAGTCGTCATCCCTCCGAATACGCCATTGACATGCGCGCCAGCGAGCCTGCTTATTGCAATCAAGGAGGGAATGGTGTGTGTGTGTGTGTGTGTCCGTGAGTGTTTTGTTTAAACGGCGTGTCATCTAGAGAGTGGGTTGCGCCCCTCTCA